AAAATCCAACAGCAAAGTGTTGGTTTATCTAGATCACAGCATCTAGATGATGTTTTCACAGGTTCGAAAGGAATGGTTCAAAATTTTTAAAATGAAGTTACGTTATAAGGTTATGGTTAGTTAATCTCCTAATTGGCGCTGATAACTCAAGGACCAATTATTTTGAACTTCAACAGAGCAATTAATTACTTGAGCCTGAAACTTATTGTTTTATAACACCTCTTGTCTTTATGTCAAAAACCTTTTTATTATTTATTCATGAATATTAATATATTATTTTTGCTTTTAACACCATATTTTTTAGCAGTCCCTCTCTCCAGAAATACATCGTCACATTTTCAGTTGGTGTTTTATTTAAGAGAACTATTGGTGGTACACTGCCTCTGACCTCAATTTAGACTGGATTTGTTTGGTCTTGACTCCATCAGATCAGCCTTTAGCCATATGGATAAACTAATATGTTTTGTTCTTTATCAGTGCTCAATGAGTTATGTTCCACTGGAAAGGTATTTACACCTTCTAATGTTTAAAGCCTTTTCTGTATGACAAGCTCCACTTTAGATGAAACTTAGGAAGAGTATGTTTCTCTATACAAGAGTTAGGTTAAAAATGATAAAAAATGTGTATGTTTCGGCAATACATTCTGTTGTCGTGTTTGGCCACGCTTCTTGTAATTGTGTTTTTTGTGTTGCAGGAAGTAGTCGAAGAACTTTCAGAGGATATTTTGACAAAGCTACCACAAGACTTTGACATCCAAGTGGTGATGGAATTATATCCAGTTGTTTATGAAGAGTCGATGAACACTGTGTTGAGGCAAGAGATTATCCGCTTTAACAGGTAAGACTGGCCTCTGCCTCGCTCCAGTCATATTAGAGAAGCTATGATAATTTATATCTTAAGCTGTTTTCTCTTTTAGACTCACAGAAGTGGTGCGTGAAAGTTTGATAAACATTTGCAAAGCTCTCAAGGGCCAAATTGTTATGTCCTCTGAGCTTGAGGATGTCTTTAACAGCATGCTGGTTGGCAAAGTACCAGGAATGTGGGCAGCCAAGTCATATCCCTCCCTTAAACCACTAGGGAGCTATGTGGCTGATCTACTGAGCAGACTACAGTTCCTCCAAGTAAGAATGATTACAAGTTTAGGCAGGTATATAATGTCTTACCAAAGTATTCATACCCCTTGAACTCTACAAAGTTTTTTTTTATGTCACAACTACAAACGTATATGTACTTCATTGGCATGTGTTTATTTATTTCTATTAATTTTTTCAAATAATTACAAGGTATGCTGTGCATTGTATTTCACCCAACTAAGTATATGCTTTGTGGAACTTGTTTTTGTAAGAATTACTAGTGCAGTCCTTTGCTCATCTTGATACTGAGTTAATGGCATATTTTCTGTGGAACATAGCTGAAGCTCCGTCAGATTGTTTGACATGATTTACATTTTCAAATCTTGCCATAAATTCTCACTTGAATTTACTGTATGTTTGGACTTTAACTAGGTCAACACACACCAGAAATGTCATTTTGCTGAAATGTAACCTTTCTCTGTCTCGGGGTGTTTGCAGTTGCTAACTGTTGCACTTGTTTTGGGTTCTTTTTCTGTTCAAGCTTCTAATGTATTTAGCTCCAGTAATCTCCCATTTTCATATGGACATCTTACAACTTTCTTTCAAAAATGGCCGTCTTCTTACCACAGATAGTGGTTCTGTCAACAAATCCTTCCACCTGTCCGGTGGGTTTCTGCAGCTCCTCCAGAATGAATGTAATTAATTCTTCTTCTGAAGCCTTCACATAGCAGCTGAATTTATCTTGCAATTAGATTACTTTCAAGTAAATTGTACTAAGTTTACCATTAAGGTGACTACTAAAGGCTCTTGTTTGGTTTCACTGGATGTTATCTAGGTCTACGAAACTAAACAGATACTCATCTTTTCTTTCCAGTTTTGAAATTATATGCTAAACTGTGATGCCCTACCACATAAAATCTGACTACAATACATTGGGATCTGTAGCTTTAACTTGACAAAATGTGGAAAAGTTCAAAGGGAATGAATACTTTGCAGTGGCCTGTAAAGCTTTCTTATTTCCATGTCTTACTTTTGCGTTCTGATATTGGGTGAAGTTTAAAAGGTATTCATGAAAAGAGTCTAATACCTTTACATATTATGATGGTGATCTGTACAGGACTGGATAAATCGTGGCCCACCTACGGTTTTTTGGATTTCTGGTTTTTATTTCACCCAGTCATTTCTAACTGGAGTGTCTCAGAACTTTGCCAGGAAGTATACCATCCCAATCGACTATATTGGTTTTGAATTTGAGGCAAGTATTTGGTTTCTAACTTTATTTAGTCACTTTTATACGTGATAATGCAGTCTTACTTTCTATTTCTATTCTCATTCACACTCCAGGTGACCAAGGAGGAGACCTATATGGAAAGTAAGCCCGAAGACGGTGCATACATTAAGGGTCTCTTCATGGAAGGAGCGCGCTGGGACAGGGAGAACATGGTCATTGGGGAGTCTCTACCTAAGATTCTCTTTGACAGTTTGCCCATCATCAAGCTCAAACCAGGAGAAATGAACCTATTTCTTCACGAGAATATCTACGTCTGCCCTGTTTACAAAACTAGCGCTCGTCGAGGTACGCTGTCGACCACTGGGCACTCCACCAACTACGTCCTGTCCATCGAGCTGCCCTCTGACAAGCCGGAGAAACACTGGATTAACCGTGGGGTGGCGTGCCTCTGCCAGCTTGACGACTAACAATCTGCCAGTTTTTAAGCAGCTGCTGATCTTGTCAGCTGTTACACAAGACAATGAAATACATGTTTTTCGCAATTCAAGAAATATTCTAGTTTTTTTTATTATTATTATTTTTAAGCCAAAAAACAAGTTTTTGCTTAAGAATACATTAAGAGTAGGACAGGAGTTTTTATCTGGCTGTTGGTGCATAAAGTGATACTTTGATGCCTCTCCCATTCAAACTTCCAGTCAGGTGGCTCTAAGAAGGCTGTTACACTTTTGCTTATCTTACAAGAAACAGGAAATTGTCTAGTATTGAGCATTTAACAGGCGAGAGGCCAGACACATCCTGGACAGGTTACCAGTCCATCGCACAGCGGTTTAAAATGTAATTTTTGATAATAAAGTAACTCTGAAATCATAATACTTGAACAATGTATTTATCTGCTATAGCAGAAAAATGTGTGAGCTGAGTTTGACCATCATGTCAACACTTAAAAAAACAGATCCTATTATGTCTTTATCCAGGTCTGACATTAGATGGCAGCAAAAGCAAATCATTGAGCCTCAACAGTTTTAAATACTTGTTTTTAGACATAGGGGCATACAACAAATAATATTTTGAACTTTGTAATTTAGCTGGTTTTGCCATAAATTCATACATTTATTGTTTTATTTAGAATTTAAATAATGTCTCAGTTGCTAAGCATTGTAATTAAAAGCAAACAAAAACACCTCTGAATATTTTTCATGTATCGCCAAATCAAATTTAGATATATCTTTCTCAAAACTGGGATGCTTGATGTTTAAACTCTCAGCTTAAATTAGCTTAAAACAGAGGTGATTTTGTTTGTATTTGGGGGTTGGGACATCCACAATTTTGGTCCTTCAGATACCTATATTTTTGATACTTCTCTTGCCTTTGACGAACACATTAATGCTGACATCAAAGTCTTGCATATCAAACCATTTGCAAAAGTGAAGCCATACCTTTGTCTTAGACACTTTGTAAGAGCTCTTAGCAGCTCTTACAAAGGGCATTATTTTATTACTTTGTCAAAAGGCTTTGCATAATTTAACATCTTGTACCTCTGAGTGTGCACAGCCCCTGTCTAGATCACTGAGATTTACAGAGAGATTGCTCCTGGCTGTTCCAAGGTCAAAATTAAAGCACCAGGGAGACCAAACTGCTTTTCCATGTCATGACCCCTCCAACATCAGATGCTTGAAAATCCACTTTTGCTTTTCATATTTTGAATCACAATGAGTTTGACTCGGTTTTATTTGCGTTACTTCTTACTCAACTTAAACTCAATATATTTTGAGTTTAATATTCAGGGTTTTTTTTTTTTTATCATTTCCCTTACATTTGTTTATTTTATTCTTCAGGATTGCTGCCTTTTGGTTTATTAAATATGCTTTAGAAGAGAACTTGAATTGACTAAAATAAAATTTTAAATCATGGTTTTGAACTCAGGATCAAGTTACCCAGAAGTGATGTATGACTGTTTATGCAACCTCTTTCAGTTGATTAAAAAAAAAAAACACACATATTCAACCCTTTTGGGATTGAAGAAACCACTAAATGTCTTTGTGTTTAGTGATCAAACTCACTAAATCAGTGGAAGATCAAACACTTACTTCTTCCTTTGTGACATCTAGAGTTAGCAGATGCTCCTTTATCCACCTAAATCTGCAGATGAATATATTTATACATCAGTTGTATAAATATAACTGATGAAGTCTGCAATCCGACTGGAGCCCAGAGAACTTTACTTTGTTCAGTTTTTATTGCAGATATGTTCCTGCAGTTTTATAGCTTTATCCTTGAGCAGTAAAAGCCTAGAGTCTAACCTATTACAGTTATTATGTAAATGTGAACCTGATGATGAAACGAGGAGAGAATGTCCTCTCTCCACATTAAGATTCTGTATTTCAAAATTTCGTAACGGCACCGAAAAACCATGTCTCGTAAGTGATGTTGAGCCTAATCTGTCCAAGTGTTGCAATTGTCAAAATAAAAGATTTTGTTTCTTCTGCAGAGCCCCACAGTCTGGCAGAGTCAATATTGGGGCATTAACATTCTGTCTGTTTTTGTTCAGACCGTGCAAATTAGAAAGTTCTCGAGAAAAGCTACGTCACTTATTTTAGATGACAATTTATTAACAGTGATGTCCAAACAGTGGACCGCATTGCAATTTTCAAGTAAAATCAGTGGTATAGGTTTACAGTATGGTCAAAGAGCTATAGGACGTCATTCTCATCAGCAAAAAAAACAAAACAAAAAAACAGGCAAACAATGCTGCCAGCCAGTGGGTGAAGATCTATACTCTGCAAAGGTCATTTCTCATTCTTTTTCTTTCCTTATTTTCTGTGTAGAAATTATAATACACAGACTCCCGGTCCTATGGATGGATGAATATGATTTTCTTCCAGTGGAACACATGCATGCTCCAGTGCAAACCTTAGTTTTTTCACTTAAAACAGCGTTTCCATTATTTATTTATTTGATGGAAAGAGATGAGATGTCTTTAAATGAGCTTGATGAGCTTTCTCTCGCCCTCAGATGGTCCATGCAAAGAAGCCTGATTGAAGCGGAGGAGAAAGGCGAATCGGAAAAGCCATCGACATCATCTTCATGCTTCAGACATGAGGAGGTGGGGGGGTGTTAGTGCGCAGCTGGAGAGAGGGCCAGATCAGCCCCCCGAGCTGCTTAAATCCTCTTTACGCAGGCGCACACCCAGCTGTGACGGAGACGTGAGGAATGTTTGATGGTGACGGACGGGAAGGTGTGTCGCTTTTGGCTGTTGCTGTCGCCACAGCGTTGGTCGCCTCCCCCCTCCTTTCAGTTAGAGAGAGAGAGAGAAAGAAACAGGCAGGGGGCGGGGGACGGAGAGAGAGAGAAAGAGAAGTTTCCTGTCCTCTTGGTGCTACACTGTCGCCGGTCGTTCACTTCACACGATGGCACGCCTGCGTCTGTGTGCGAAGCCGCTGCTTAGGGATCCCCGTTACCTCCTATGAGAAGCGACCAGAAAACAAAAAGGAAGAAGGGAAACAAAAGAAAGTGTCTCCATGTCTGAATTCGGGTCACATAAGAAGAACGACGTGGGCCCACCGGTTGCTGCGGGCTGGAGAGCGGCGTGCGGCGGGGCCAGCGCCGGAATGAGCGTGGAGGCGCACGGGGGAGGAGAGCCCGTGTCAAACGGAAGCTGCAGCGCGTCGGACGCCGTCAAACGGGTCCAGAGCGAATCCGGCTGCGAGTCTCCGACGTGGGAGAACCCGGGCTCGGAGTCGGCTCTCAAATCGGCGATCCCTCGACGCAGCAGTCTGATCAAGGTGGATTCATCACACACACGCACACACAAAAAAAACACAGCAATCCCGAATAGATTCTAATCACCGGCAGGCGTACATGCCACCCAAAATGGGATTGAATGCTGATGCATCTCCAGCAGAAGCCATGCGTGAAGGCTGTGCTCAGGGGAAAATGCCACGAAATGGGAAAAAACAAAGTTGGATTGGAGGAGCCCTTGAGCAACATTAGACAGATGCGTTTCATCACACACCCTCCGTCCAGCCCGAGACGCCACCGCTACTGAACGGGCCTGCTGTCAGCTTTTTCTCTTTGCATGTCAGCCAGCAGAATAATCGGTCACACCATCTCTGCACATGTGCCTGCCGCTCTTGAGAACATTGTCCAAATTCTGCTGAACAGGTCCAGAAATGTGATGCGAAATGTGCAAAGCGATGAATGAAGCATCTTCTCATTATGTCATTTTCAAAGCTCAACATACTTAAGATTTAAAAGTAGTTTACACAACGCGTTGCAAAAGTGAAACTGTGAAACTTTTTTTTTTTCATAGTTTGTCTTGTTGCAACCACTAACTTGAGTGTATTTTAGTGTGACAGGCACACGTTAAATAGTGCATGCTTGTATACATTTTTTTTTTCAGAAATAAAAATGAGCAAAGTGTGGCATTTATGTAGCCTTTGCTACAGAAATTGCGACCAACAGTTTAAAGCTTGCCGAACTAGAAAATAGAGTCCACCCTGTGTTTAATATAATCTGTAAAAAAATAAAATAAAAAATAAAGCCATATTGCCATTGTGCTAGTCACCACAAACCACACAGGTGGACGCTGCAAATGTGTTAAAAGGTATTCTGAAATTCTGGTCAGATAAGACTATAATTTAGCTTTTTTTGGTCTTTACTTTGTGTGGTGAATATGCCTTGTGGTGGAAAAAAAAAACTGCACGCAGGATACCCAATGCAAAACATAGTGGTGGCAGCATCATGCTGTGGGGGTGCTTGTCTTTACTCTTCTGTCTGACGACTTCCAACTTGCTGTATTTTTGGAGAGGAAAAGGGGCGGAGTTTCACTCTCTATGACCTCAGGTGCGATTTCTGATAGTTGAAAATGTGGGTCATCAGAGTGTCGATTTGGGGCTGCTTCATTCAAAACCATGTATACTTTTTCTTCAGCATCTCTTTCTACTACGTGTTGTTCTGTTGTTCTGGTTGTAACACTAATACGTTTTAAGACGTTTAAAGGGCACAAATGCTTTTGCATACATTATTAGATGGCAAGCATTTCTGCTCATAAGCAGGGATATTGCTGACAGAAGAAGTGGAGGAACTGAAAAGTGAAGTCGTCCACGGTCCATTTTGATTGAAGTGAGAAATTACATTCTTTCTGCCTTCTTCAGTTCACAGTTAAACAGCCTTTGATTTAATTCTACTCCCTGGACTTGCAAATGAATAGATGTAAAATGTATTTTAACATAAATATCTACATTCTTCACGCACCTCTGCTTTTAAATGATATTAACCTTTAATGTATTGCCGTATCAATATCCACTGATCGATACCTCATTCCCTGACTTTGCCTTTTATGGTTTTGGTCCCCTGGGGTAATGTGGGAGGTCTTATGGATCGCCAGCTGCAGCCTGTCTGAAGGGCTGCTGCCTGCAAAGACATGATTATTTGAACATGCCATCATCTCTCCTTCTCTCTCAGTCTGTGTGTGTATATGCGAGTGTGTGTGTGTGTGTGTGTCTGAGTGATTGGCTCTGACTCAGCAAGACAGGAAGAGGGACCCATTGGCCAATTTCCTCGTACAGTTTGTGTTGCAATATTGCTATTAATCCATGAGCAGTTGGTGGTGACAAATCACTTTCCCTGGAGCACATACACATGCATGCACATAAAATCAGACAAATGTTTCTCACCTCTTTGCCCACACACAGGCCTGCTCTCGTAGACGCTCCTCTGCTGCAGCCAGCTCATAACACAAACAGCATGAAATGGACTGAAGTTTCTGCAGCCTCACACGGAGCCGAGAGTGGTGTTAAACGACTCCCGGTGGGGAGCGCGCTTCTGATGCTCAGTGTCACTTCTGATGTTTCAACGACTTTGGAGTACCACTGTGGTGACTCACAAAGAACGGGGCCGATCAAAAACGCAGGGCCTGCTTTACCGTCGTTTTTTTTTTTTTTTTTTTTGTATCGATTGGGAAATGTGGGTTCAGCTGACATGTTTGGTCAAAATGATTCAACTGGAGCAGAGTGGAAGGTGTTGTTCACCTTGGAGCAGGAAAACGACACCCAAGTGTACACGTAAAGCTGCTGTGGAATGATTTGTACAAAATATATTGGTTGCCAAGACGGCCTAGTCAAAGTCCAGACCTAAATCTATCCAAATCTTTCTTGTCATGTCTCAAACATTGCTTTTCCCAGGCATTAATCAAATCAATGGTTTGCATGCTACTGTCACCAAAAACATGTCGGCACATGCAGATGAGCATAATTGTATATCGTCCTTGTAATGTTAGACGTTATTAATCCAGTTTGTCCACATAATAGCACACGTATCTGTTTTGCTGGAATACTCTTAAGGTCACAGTCAGGATTCTTCAAAGCATTATTGCGGCGTGGTATGTTGGGCTGATAAACAGGAAATGTAACATTCCAGAATGGTTTTCCACAGGAGTCCAGACTTTATTTCCACTGTGCATGCGCGTGTCTTCCTAGTCCTGTCGGCAAAGTTAATGAGAGTATTTTATTAGTCTGTACCTTGCCCTGTCCTCTAATTTTCCTTTGGGGATGGAAGGAGGGCCCTGGATGGGGGTTTTCTGTCTCCTTCATTCGCGTGATGGCGACACAGAAAAAGACAGCCACTTAAGTTAAGTACGTTTCAAGTTCATCTGAGATGTAGATATCAATCGTTCACCTCTTTTCCTAATAAAGGCACCCAGTTGTTCTGACCTTTCTTGTAATAAATCATCAGAAGGGGGGATAAAAGAAAAATCCTCATTTGTCCTGCCAAGAGACACCAACAGGCTTTTCATTGCACTTAAGACGGCAAACTGGCATTCCAGAAGTCTCGGCTGGTGCGTCTACTTCTCTTTCAAGTTTAAAGCTTGCTTGTATTTCTTTCTTTTTTTTTTCAGCAATGATGGGGGGAAAAAGAGAGGCCTTTTTCTGTCGGGATATCAGACGTAAATTTGAAGAGTTTGCAAAACTCTGAGCTCTTAACTGGAACCGTGTGCTTTGTTCTGATGAGACTTCAGTTAGGATTTTTGGCGACGAGCACTCCAGCGTGGATTTGGGGCGAAAGACAAGATGAGTGCGTGGAAAAACGCCTCATGCTGTCTGAGCGGTGTGGATGATCTGTGATGCCGATGGACAATTTTTCTTCCAGAGGTCATTGGAACCTTGTCAGAGTACTTGGATGCACGGCATTTCTGAAGCACTTGGATATTTTATTGGCTTTGGCAGAGGAATAATCAAACGCTTATGGTTAGGTCAACAGTCAACACAAACCTTTTAATCAGAAACTAAATCAACCTTTATGGCCATTTGAATCTCTAACTCTAAATTCTATTAAAATGTGATGAGTTGAAGACGGAGAGTGAGGATAAGGGAGAACCTGGGATGGTGTACAAAGAGCCTTCCTTCTGAACGGTCCAACATTACAAATTGTTATTGGACCAAACAGAGTATCATCCAGTTGTCAAAAATAAGCTCTGCAAATTATTAACTGGAGGGTTGCTGAAGATAATTCTCTTCTAAATTCTTTAGTTTGAAATTTTTCCACTTATTTTTTTGAAGTAAGCCGCCCTTCCAGCTTTGTTATGCGTTGCAGTGATTCTCGCTGGCGCGTGTGATGAGCCGTCCGGAAAATCTAAACCCAAAACGCACTGCAACTGTGGCTCCATGCTTCATTTCCCTCCATGTTATACTAACTGAACAGTTTGTGCATCTGTTCGACAAGACCGAACGGATCCCTGGACTTCAGCCAAGCGTAGTTTTTAACTGAGGTGACTTGACTTGTCACAGGTGTGCTTTAACTTTTAAAACAGAGAAATGTCAAACACTCACTCTCTCTCGATCTTGCGTCACTTTCCAATCCCAGTTATTCCGCTTGATTTGTCACCTCTGTTTCAAAGGTGACAAATATTTTTCACCTCTGACAAAGATTTGTCAAAATCTTTGGCAGGATTTTCAGCTTTCTGAATAAAAAGAGCCTGAAATGTATGCAGGATTTGCTTACATTTTAGGCATTGTACATATTCAATAACGTATAACTATGTTATAAGGCCTATGTTCCCTCATTGGCCTTATAACATCAGCTTGCACTTACTCACAGTTGCACCTGCAGATTCTGAACAACACTGGGAATCTGCAGTTTGAAATCTGTTCTGGTTCATTGTGACGTAGTTTCCAGCTGGGCTAAACAAAAACTTTAAAAGTTTTCTTCAACATGCACAAGATGATAATATATAATCTTACAACCTAAGTATAGTTTGGGTGACAGGAAGGGGCTCAGGTTGTGCGACAAGGTTATGATTAGGGATACGGCATGAAAGAAAATAATTCAAAGGGTGAGTGCTGATGTTTATTTTTGAAGAGAGTTTATTTACTCAATTATTTAGATTTTACCTTTTTAGTAACACTTTATTTTGAAGGGGTCTGCTTAACACCGACATGACACTGTCATGTTCATGACTTGACGCCTGTCATGAAAACAAAGAAGTCTTCATGAATGTGTCATGCAGGGTCATTTGGTAAATAATGACAACTGTAATGCAAAGTTGACCATTTTAATGGACTTTTGATGCAGTTTTGCATTAAAATTGACCAAATGACAGTTCATGACAACAGTTGTAAATATTCATGAAGACTCCTTCATGCTCATGACAGATGTGATGTCACATTTATGAGAGTCATGTCAGTCTTATGCACATCTTGTCACCCTGTAAATGTTAGCTTATTTTTTGTGTAGTTCTCAAGAACTAGATATGTCAATCCAATTTTTTTTTACCCATCATTCTCTT